TTTCAACAAAGATTTCTCCTTGTTGAATTATTCAATTGCTCCAAAAATTAGATTGTATATATCTATTTAAGTCTAAATTTTTCTTACCAATTTTTTCTTTAATATAACTAGTAGATATTGCCAAATCATGAAACTCATCATTGATCCTAAATTTTAATTATCTAAGATTATAATCTACAAAAACTCTCATTTTCTTCAATCTAAATACTCAATTGACCTCAAATTTCTTATACATATTTATAACAAGTACAATAAAAAAGCTTCTAAATTTTTACTTTTAAATAAGCAACAAAATTTTCAAAATATTCAAATTTATAAACTTGTTTTATTTCTCAAAAATCTAAATCCAATGAGTACATTTCTAATTTTGAAAAACGCTCAAAACTTTAATATTAATTCAAATAATATGAAACTAACTCTCAAAAATTTCTTCATAAGTTTTTTCTCAAAATCTATTTTTTGATTAATAAAAAAACCTTAGAGTTGCCATAGGTGTGCGATTTTGTGCCTCAAGATCTGATTTTGATAATGGTTTATAATTGGTCCTTTTCAAATATCAATTTTTAATAATTTGAAGTAATTTTTACTTAAATAAATTTTTAAATTTTTTTCGAATATACCTAAATAAATTTTTTATATTTTATACTTTGATTTGAGGCATTTATGTTCTTAAAAAATAAATAGAAGTTCTTTCTATAAAATGGAGCATTAAGACTAAAACATTTCTTAACTTCCTATCATTTATCTTTATTTATCTACTACATCTTTCTATTAGATTCTTCTATAATAACATCCATATTTTTATTTTTTACCATGTAGTTGTTTTATTATACAAAAATGTATATGGAAGCTAATAAAGATTCTTACAAATGCAATAGAGAAGGTTGAAGCTTTTTTTTAATTGACATTCATCAAAACAAAGATGAAGAATCAAGTAAATATTTAATATAAAAGAAATGATTTTCATTAAAGAATGCATTCTATCTTCTAACTTTCATTATGATTTCTTTATATTAGTATTGCTAATAAGATGCAGAACCAATGGCCAGCAAATTTAATTTAAGAACTATTGTTTGCTAACTAATATGACGAGACATTACCATTGTCATAGCCTCCAAGACAATGGAATAGAGATGAAGATCTTCAAGAATGACATGTTTTTTCTTTTTTGAGTAGATGGCAAGATATGATACATTTGATATCACAACCTTAAAAAAGACTTTTAGTGTTTGGTGATTTTATTAGAGGTATAAGTGATTCTTAATGGTATTACAAATTTTTTGTTTGAAAGAAGTAATGAAGGCCTCCAAAATGATAAAATATTAGGTTGGTCTTTTTTTCCTAAAATAAAATATTATTGATGGTTGAGAGGACCTATCAACTACTTTTGAAGAAAACAAAGAATATAATATGAAGTAAATACAATTTGTTGTATCTTAGACTTCATTAACATGTCATCATTGCTCTAAGTAGAACTCGTCCTTAGAAGAGGGGATAATATCATAAATATATATATATATATATATATATTTAATAATTACTTAAATAATATGAATATATAGAAGTAGATAAAAATAAATTAATTTAATAATATCTTATAATAAAGCTTCCTAAAAGCTTCATAGATGTGGTTTCATCTTTATATATGCCTAAAGGTGATTGTTAGGTTGAATACTTGCCCAATAAGTTAGCCACATATTATACATTTTGGTAGCTCATGATAAAAACTAACTATGTGGCATATATATAAAAAAAAACTTGCTTTACAAGTTAAGACATGTATCTTGCAAATTAAACACTTATCAAAGGTCCTATAGAAAATTGCCACCTAACTCTTTGTTAGATGATATATGTAAAGACAAGAGTGAGGCCTTCTTCACTTTTATTAATTTCTTTTTTATTTCTAATTTAATTTTAAGGATTTCTAATTTTCTTGACTTTTAGCAATAGTTATTTTAGTTTTTATTTAAATATATCTATTTACTTATTTTTATTTTTTTATCATTCTTTGATAAAATTATTATTTGTTTATTTATCTTCATCAAGTTTTTGTCCTTGGCGCTGTCGAGTTAGAGAGAGTTTGCGTCAAGAAAGCACTGAGCTTTTGATTGCCACTAAATGCTCAATTAAGTCTAAGATATAAAAGTACCAAGTTTATATATATAATATTTTCCCTTTTAGGGCAATTACATCAATACATAAGCCCAAGTATCAAAAAAAAAACCCCAAATGTAAGATAAAGTATCTTAAAACCTTATATATCCTTATAAGAAATGTTTTCTAAACTTCAATAGCTTATATCTCACAATCGGACTGTCCAAAAAACCTAAAATTTTAGATGAAGTACTGATATACTTTCGAAAGCTACCACAAAAAAAAAAAAAAAAAAAAAAAAAAAAAAAATCAACTACAAATTTGTTACGGATCTTGAGATATCACTAAAACTCTATCAGTAGCTTTAAACCCTAGCTCACATACACTCGCGTGCTATTTTCTTCATATCTCACAAAATTAAGTACTCAAATACCAAGAAACTTTGATCTATAGCTTCTTAACCTAATAACTCACACTTACAAAAAAATTGAGTCAAAATTTCATCCAAAAACTCAAGATATGGCTCCAACCATTACTATCAATAAAATGACTCACTTACTACCTTTGAATTACATGTATTGTCTTCAATGCTCTATAACTCCTTCATCTAGACTTGGAATTCATCAAACTTTATATGTAAAGTATAGCCAAAAAAGTGTTCTCTCCAAATCCAATTGCCGAACTTTCATTTCTTTCTGTACGCATATGTTATGCTTCAAAGAATGACAGTAAATACAAATTTGACACCTTAACTTTGAACACCTATATCTCCTTCTTAAAAGCTTGAAATCACACAAACACTTCACCCAAATTATACCCCAAACCCTGAAGTTGCTGATTCTAGCCTTCAAAGCTCGAATGACTTCAAAAGAGAAACCTTAATCTCTAATAAGGCCTCGTGCAACCTCCTTGAAGTCCATTGGGCACGGCCTTTGATCAATAGGAATGAAGATTTCCATTCCTTGCCTTCATCCAACCATGCCTTGCTTTCATCCCTCCCAATGAGCCTCCTACTAGTTATAAATTTCTTCTTTAGGCTCTAATCTCCTCTCAAGGCTTCATATTAAACATTTAGGTCCTATAATTTTTTTAAATGCTATAATCAAAATAGATAAAATTTAAAATAAATTTTTTTATATCCACTCTCTTTAAATTAATCTATTAACAATTCTAACATACATCTAGATTTATTTATATATAATTTATTTTAACTAATTTTTACATATTTTAAGCTTTTACAATACGACAATGCTCTATTATGTAGACTTTGGATGTAATTTTGACTCTTCAAAATATAAAGAGAATTGCATCCAAATTTAGAAAACTAATGGAATATAATCTAGTTGGAATAGATAGTAATTTACTTGCCATAGTACTGGGTAATTGTTGTAGTTCTTGATTCAATGAAAGATAAATAAATATTAAAGTTCATTGAATTTGAGAGATATTAAAAACGTGATTTTTCAATTGAATGTGTTGATATGTGCCCTACTAGTTGATAAGTCAAATTGATAGTTGGTTCTTTGCCGGTTGATGTCAGGATAGAAAAAAGGACAATAATAACATTAGCCAAGGTGAATGCACAGTATTGGGACAAAATCTACATTTAATTGAAAAATGTGCACAATCAACCATAATAGTGATTCATTTGTGTATCTTTTAGTATTTTATTTCAAATAATATTTTCCAATCAACACTTATGTCTAGTGCAACATAGAAGCGGGGTTCCAAAAAGATGTTATTTGAATCTTGTACTAAAACTTTATGTAAGGTATTCTCAATATCAAGTGTAATATAAGCAAATTTCTAAAATAGTTATTTGAAAGTGATTCAAGTATGAACCATCATACCTTGGTGAGTGTTGGAGTAAAAATAGAATATCCAAGTTTGAAAGATAGACATGACTCCTCTAAATTTATAAAGAGTGAGAATCAAAATGTGTTGTGCCACTTCTTTGCAAGGCACTTTTAAACATTAGATTCCTTAGTTGATATTGTTATTACAAACCACCATGTTGCCTCCTCAATCAATACATAGTTTTGTCAACCATTTCAGAAAGATTGAGAGAATAAGTTTACTATCAATGAAAGTAACAAATACCATTTGGTCCTTCAAGAAGTGCTCTTTGGTAGCCGCCATGTCTTTAGATATGTAAATACACTTCTTGGATTTCTTAATAAGAAATTTTGCATAATTTTGAGAGAGAAGTCTTCCGATAAAGTTTTCCATCCCTATGGCTTGGTTGGATTAATTGTTAACCCTTCATATTGGATGCAGATAGAATTGGCAAGTTTGCCACCCGAGGCATCCACCATAGTAGAGTCAAAGCTCTTGTCTTGTTTGGAGGAGGCTCCAGTGCACACAGTGTTTGCATACTAGTGAGCCATTGAATGGGGTGACCTAACTTTAAACCTAAAATCCTTGTCTAGAAAGAGTGCTCAGTGATTTCTAACCTAGTAGCAGGAGAGGGTAATCTGAAACTTTCTAACGCAAGGTGTAGAGTTGTGTGGGTTAGACGTGTGCCGCACTAGAACTATGCAATCACAAGGTCTTTGCCATCGCCGCAAAGATCACCATTGCTTCTGGTGCAAAAACTTCGCAAAAACTTGCCTACAGTAAATTGCAGAGCTCCATAGCTCGGGTTCGACTCGATTGAGGGGGCATCATGTTTTATATACTAAAATCTAACCGATACGCATATCTCCATTCTCTGCATTCCGCTCTCACAAAAACGAACGGTGTGAACCCTCCGGATGGCTTCGTGGCTTCCAAGGCGAGCTGTCCCGAGTCGACTCGGAACACAGTGCGCTTCGTTTGCGGCTCCAGCTCTCCACAGCGGCCTCGTGAGACGTGTGGCGTCAGCGCCCTCGAGGCGACGCCGCTTGGCGCTGGCTGTGGAGTTGATTCGTTTCAGGAAAGCTGGCTTGTGACTCCCTCACGACGAATGCAACGGACAGTGTGACCCTGCTTGGGTTCAAACCTGGTGGGTCAGGTCACAGGAAGTGGGTGATCTCTCATGGTTTTTTTTCTGCTTAAGGGACACCTCCTTGACGCGTGACTGCTGCTTTAGCGTTCGGTAACTGAAATCAGATAGGGAGCGAAAAGGAAAATTGAAAGAATAAAGGAATACTGAAAACGTGAAGCGTCGATTGGAGGCAATGGACGGGGACGATCAAGGCCAAGGACTCAGTTGCTGAATCATGTCGTGCTTGAGAGGCCTCCGATTGTGGGGGAAGCGAAGAGCGAGAAGAGCCGGTGGTCGTGGATCTCCCGCAGTTTACGAGGAACTGCCTACGCTACACGCCTATTAGCTACTTCCGCGAAAGAAACTGTCAGAAGATCCATCAACTTTTGCGAAGGTCCAGTCGTCTCACTTGCACCAGGATGCGTGGGAAGGAGAATAAGCCACCCACCACTCACTTTGATGCCCACTTCTGCACTCCATATTCACTTCAATTTCCACTTTGAATTTGATCCGGTCTAGGGTTCAACTTCGTGGGAAGATGCTGTTGGTTGATAGTTCAGGTTTGTTGAAGAGTGGAGTGGGGTTGAATTGAGGGTGTTTTTGGATTAGTGAACTTGTTGGGGTTCAGGTGGGCTGGGTTGGCGATGGCGGTGGCCATGGCGATGGGAGCCTCGGTGGATGTGAGCCGTGGAACGCGAGGCGCTGGGTTGTGTGTGAGTTCTGGTAGCCCTTATCAAGCACGTGGACTCGGACTGGTGGTGAGTAGCGATGTCAATATATTGGGTGCTAAGATTTCAAGAGTGTCCAATTAAAGGAATTAAATTCGTTTTGCGCAGCCAAGGCGCGGTGGATTGCCGTGGCTGACCAACCAATTAAATATATGTGCACACATCTTTACATACTGAATCCAATTTCTTTTAGGCAGCAATTCGAATCCAGTTTTGGTCTTTGGATTCCTGATATTGGCAGGGAGGAACAAAGTTAGATTATTCATTTTCGATTGAGATTTGTGTTGAAGCTGAAGTCTTGTTGCAGTGTATTTTGTTGGAGGGTTTACAGCCTAGATTAAAAGTCAGTTTCTAGTTACAGTGGAGAGTTCGTCATGAGAACCATACTAGCATTTTTCTTGGTGCATTTAGCAGTCAAGGGGTACTTTAAACCTCCACAGTGATATTTACTTCGTTTATGAGCTATTACTATAAACTAAGTAAATTCTCAGTGTGAGTCTACTAGCTACTAACTGGAGAAGTGTTTGTTAACCTTCAAATATTCACAGCAAAGGGTAGGAGAAGTTACTGTATGAGAAGAGATTGAATCTTGTGCGTTTTTTATTAGGTTTTGTCGTTTCCCCGAGCACTGAGATCCTATGACCTCAACTCTCGATGCCGGCGACAGCCACGGAGAGGCCTTGCAGTGCTTAGAGCGTCCAACAACAATGGTCCTGAATTCGACGACCAGGACAAGAACGAAGGTGAGCCCTGTTGATTCACCTCGTTGTGGTGGAACCAACATTTTGCTCTCAATTTCTGGCTAACGACTCAGTCCTCAAGGGCATATTCATCTGAGTGTGTTTTGTTTGTCAATTTTCATACTGGATAAAATAAACTCCTGACTTGATCCACCCCAAAGTGACGCCAGGTTCTCCAAATGTCCAAGTATTTCTTCTATGTTCAAGTAGGGTTCTCGTCTACCTTCCGTATTTGCATCACCTGAGATTACTTGCAATGAATGGATGCAGGAAAGAAGGGATCAGTGGACTGGGACAAGGCTTGGGAGAGCTTCCCCAAGCCCAAGAAGCAAAACCCATGGACAAATCTGTTGAAAAGCTTGAACATAGACATGGAGCAATATGTGAACCGACGTCCAACACACTCCAATTTCCCACTGTCGGAGGAGACGGATCCCATGCGCAAGACAGAGAGGAAGGCATTGGATGCGTGGACAGATCCCAAGTTCACTCTGGCTGGCGTGGGTGTCGTTGTGGGGCTGTTTGTTTACATGGTGGTGATCGTCGGACCTCCGCCATCTTGAGATTGAAATCTAGATTGTATTGCATTTTGTCTCATCAAATAACCCACTTTTTTGTCTTGAGGCACAATTGATACACGAAGGAAAATCTTACTTTGCTGTGTGCTTTGTTAACTTACAAATCTGAATATAGTGATGTAAGTGTAGATTTATTGTACATATAATCAGGGGGGCAGTGAATTTTGTTGGTGTTACTGACATTTTTATATGAAAATTATTATTAGTATTATTATTATGTTTTATGATTTTCAACGATTACACGTACAGGAAAATTGAATTATATGTTACGTGGTTTAAGAACAATTTACTTGAGTTGACTCACTTTAGTTTGTGTAGATCTAATCCAGAGGTTAGAAGGGTTTAGTTGCTCAATAATTGCGACCCTTTGGTGATGGTGATCGAATTACTAGATCTTGTTTACCTGCTGCTTGAACATCTCTGGTGGATTCATTATAATATTTATTTAACACAAGAAAGACTACAAGCATAATTGTGTCTGGTGAGAGAGCTTGTGTAAGTCTTCTACTTATCTCTTTGTTGTCCATGTCACATGCGTAACCCATTCGTTATTACTCTTAAGATTATTGGAACCGGGTAGGAAGAGACTTTTCTGCATAATACTCAACATTCCAATCAAAGTGATAGCGGGATAAAATTTCTTTAATTCCTCGTGAACTTTTAGGCTCTTAAATATGCATTCATCTATGAGGAAGAAGCATTCGCTTTAGTATGAGAATGCTTTGAGCAAGGCGCTCTGAAGTAGGGGCATTCTGTTCAGTAACGTATAGAAAGCTAGCTCTAAATCAATCTTTTGATAATGCACGATAAATCAATCTTTTGATAATGCACGATAAATCAAAGAACTGACTTCCAGGCCACACATTTGAATTTACAGAAACCCACCCAATCAACACGATAGACAAGCGGCTCATTTCAACTTCAACACTAGCTAAGGAAATTTTAACACAATCAACACTGGTATTTATATATGAAGAACACATTTGATGTCAAAATGATGAAAACACGGACTACTTCAAAATATCACGCTAAATGTCGATCAGGTATGCTATTCTAATGAGCTTCGGTTTCTTAACACATGCACAACCTCGTGCACGCTGAGGTATTAACTAAGAAAAGAGTAAGGAAATACCACAGCTGCCAGAGGCAGGCTGAACAAAAAACCTGATGACAAATGAACGGCTAAAGACCAACATCTATGCTCTAGAACCTCCAAGACACAGTAATAGAACTTCTAAAATCTATTTCGAAGGTGATCGTGAACCAGGGCTTAAATCCCTCCCATACGACACCAAGCCTGCATTCTCACCTGAGGATCTGCTTCGTGATGGAGAAACACTCACCGAAAGTGTCGGTGACCTGCGTCGTCGACGATCAGTTTCATCCCTGGCGTAAGAGACAAGTTTCCTCTTTTCAGGTGATAGACTCTTGGACAACGAACGACTTGGAGAGTGAGATACAGAAGAACTGGCACTTCGAGAACGACGCCTAGCTCCTCTGGAACCTCCGTTATTATGTCCATCTTTAGATTGGATTGCAATTCGGGGTCCAAGACGATTGCGGAGGTCACTGCTGATGGGGGCACGACCTCCAGACGGAGAAACGCTACGACTGACGCTCCGATGAATACCTCTTCGACTACGGTCACGGTGAACACGAGGACTACGACTTCGACTTAAGCTTCTGCTGGCAGTCCTCCTGTGTCTGAGTAACCGACAAAATATGTAATGGTGTCATAAAATAATGATATTGCCAGAATGAGCAGATCAGTTTCAGGTTTAGACATGTTCTGATGAAGTGTCTTGTACGATCATTGCAGACACCGAACTCTTCATGTCATTCAGCTCCATAGAGAAAATATTTAACAAAAATGCGGTGAAAGCTTGATATTGATAATTATTCGAAGTAAATAAAAAATTACACAAATGAGATCTTACCTGGGTGGTGATCGGGCTCTTGGAGGACTTCTGTATCGTCTTGGGCTCCAATCTCGATTGCCCCTGTACCCCCTTCCATACCTGGTTGCAACATAACCACATGTCACGACGGAACATAGTCGAATTTTTCAGTAAATTTACACTAAAAACTACCACAACTACTACGCTCTAATCCATAAAAATGATACCTCCATTTCCTTAAACTTCATGTAACTAAAAATACTGTCATAAAATTCGGCAACACCTGTCATTTCCACCCCGATCGTGTCTATCTCGATCGCCACGCCCACCATAGCCGTAAGTCCGCGGTGGAGACCGGTCAGGGGTTCGGTATCGACGGGCATATGAATACTGCTGGCTAAACCCACGACCTCTCCTAATCCTCTTTGGAGTGCCTTCTCGACTGGGACTACGCACCAAACTCCGACTACGAGATCTGTTGAGAGGATCAGCAAGGGTGAGGCTCCGGGCTTTCGCGCTAGTAGGACGAGCAGGGCTTCTACTCTTCATAGACCTTGTGCTGGGAGTCCGACTCTTGCTGCGGCTCAAACTCTGCCGCTCTGCTTGATCTGATTGAGGTAGGCCCTGGACATTGGGGCTTGGAGGAACAGGACTTGGGCTACGGATGCTACTCGATTTTTTCCTAGTGACGAATATAGGACTGCGGGAGACCGGACTTCTGCTCAGACTTTTCCTATCATCAGATGTAGGACTACGAGGGGTCGGACTCCTGCTCAGACTTTTTTTCCGCACTACAGGGCTTCTGCTCGGACTTCTTTTCCTCTCCACGGGGCTCCTGCTTGGACTCGGACTATGGGTCGAGCTTCTCCTCTTCTCAAAGCTTCTGCTACGACTCCTAAAATCAACGCCATATGAATAACATATAAGGATAAGTAAAAATATGATAACTTATAAAAACGAAGAATAAAAAAGTAAAAATTTCAACACAAACCTCGACAGGTAAGCATGTATCCTACAAGGACGCATGCATTCGTTGAGCAAAGATATTGATCATACAAGTTGCAACCCACCTTGATCGGCTTTGACGAGGACTGGGTGGAGGCGACAAACTCAAATCTGAAGCCACCGCCTGAGGTTTCGAGTCTTCCCGAAATTCCACAGGTCCCTCTTTTAGATCGTCCTTAGATACCTTCATATCGATTTCTATTTGTTTTCCAACAAGTTTGGCACCTGCTCTCTGGCCAGATTTTTCAGCTGTTGTGGTTGATTGTTTCGTTCCAACTTTATCTGTAAAATAATTAACATAATCAGAACCTAAAATGAACATGAATTACAGCGGACACAAACCAACTTTAGCATGCCGACAGTAATCAACCTAGCCAACCAGCATGCCCCTAACATAAAACTTGGATGAAAAGTAATAAAATATTGTTTTGGGGTTCCATGTCTTATTACAAAATCAAGATCTACATCAAGGTAGGCAGAAATGATCATGAATAAGTCGTACGTGCCTCGAATTTGTGTCTTCTGGGTTCTCTTCGCCGCACGTGCACTCACGTCACTATCAGTGTCACTTTCAAGATCTGAGCTCGAAGTTTCACTGTCAGAATCACTGCTATCACTTTCAGAACTCCTGCAACAAACATGACCAGAATGATCATGAACAGGTAGCAAATACGAATAACAATAATCTGTTCCGCAAACCCGACCTCATTCAGATATAATAATATAAGTCATCCGCACATAAGACATAACATCAGTAAATGCATAACAAGTCTCAGTAAACTAGCCACACGCATACCACTTAGATCTCCTTCTTGATCTGGTCCTCCTCTTTCGTCTCCTATCTTTGCGTTTGTCTCTTTTTCGCCTGTGAGTTCTCTTCTTCTCCTTCCTTACTGGTTTCCTCTTTCGTTTCCGTCTATCGTCCTCGCTGGACGAGCTTAATTCAGAGGACGAGTATGATTCAGAGTCAGATTCAGTATCAGACGAAGAATCTGAATAGTATTCTGAATCTGATGAACTCTCAGAAGAATCTGATGAGTAACGCCTCCTTTTCTTCCTCCTTCGGTCTTTTACAACCTTCCTATGCTTCCTCTTAGAACGATAATGTTCTTTATCGTCATCACTTGAGTAATCATCTCTACTATCTTTGAGTTTTTTAGCCTTCTTCTTGTCTAGGGTCATCCACAAAACATATTAATTCACAGATAACCTCGTGAAAGTGAGGAACAAAAGATACAAACATTTACACCTGAGCATTCACAAAAATGTGCCCTATCACGAAAACGTAAAACTCTAGCTCAATGCAGCTGTCTTCAAAAAATACCAGTTCCCAATACATCCCTTTGAAACAAGACAAAAAACACAAAGCCCCGCAAGCAAGGAAGAGCATGCAGAATTCGATCAAAGCAGATAAGTGCGGCAAACCCAGCCTTGTCTTCACTGAAGAAGACAGGTTGTCGTTCAAAATCGGCAAAATATGCGCTATCAGTAGTCCAACTACATTATTTGCAGATCCCCTCATGATCTACAACCTTACCGTCTTTGTGGGGAACGACACTATTGTCTTTGCCCTGGAGTGCCTCTCCACAATCCACTATCTTTATTGGCACGTCTGGCTTGTTTCTCTGACCAGATGTAGGTACATTCTCTATCGTCTTCAAGATATCCATGCCTTCGACTACCTTGCCAAACACCACATGCTTCCTGCAAACAATTTAACTCCTTAAGCTCTGATCGACCTCAGTGATTACTTAGTGTTCAATCATTATGATCAAGTGAAAACCACATATTCCCAGCTAACTATAGCTAGCTGGTTTCATGAAATCATTTAATATTGTAGGAAGCAACTCTATAGTGCAGCTGTATGATGAAAGAAAGCATCAAACGTAGGAAGAACATGGTAAAGTCAACATCATAGTAGAAATCAACATAGAATTGATTCGTGCCACTTCGTGTGTTTGATAAGTCTCTGCATAGGCAACTTAGGATGGACTTGAGAAATATACCACATTGATCAATCAACAGCAAGGCCAACCAAGATTGAAACAGGTGCCCAATAAAACTACCGCACACGCATGAGCCTATGTATGCGCACGTCTAGACTTCAAAACTTTACTTTCCAGAAATTACAAGGCAGGAATAAGAAAGAATAAGCCATCAAGCAAATGACAATCTCCACATTAGAACAAACATAAGTTTGCCTCACCCCGTCACTGAATGGCACATGAGTCATGTGGGGTGGACAATGACGAGGTTCGTGGCCTACAAACAATTATCCCAGTAAAATCGTCATTAGACAAAATATCTGCGAAGCAGCTACATATCATAAGAGAGACCATTTTGAAACCATCAACGAACTGAAAAAGACTACCGCCTTCACGCGAATATTAATCAACGTGGATATTCATATATAATAGAGTTGTATTCCGTGAACCACATACTTCATTTCCTAATAGCACTAGTATTAGACCAGCGTGGACAAACAGAATTCATCAAAGCAAAAGAGAAGAGCAATCTGTGCCCTGTAAAGGAGCGATCTCTCACCCATTCAAATGTGGTTGCGATTTAAAAGTAAGAAAGAACTGTGAACCGTTTGTGTTTGGACCAGCATTTGCCATCGATAGTATCCCCGCTCCATCGTGCCCATACTTGAAATTTTCATCTGAGACAAAGACATTAAAAGTCGTAAGAAACTTACATACGTGTCGGAAAGATTTCTTCTCTTCCTGCAATTCAGAAGGTATATCAATGTTCGAACTTGCAACATATGTTATCATTCGGAAAATTATACAATCAGTAAACGAGAATTCTATACAGGCCAGAAACGCATTTTCTTAGGTAGATAAGACCATGAACATCCCAGACCTTGTATTGCCACATAAAATAATTTATCGCATAGAAGTTCTGGCCACATACCTGGCATGATCTTTTCAAACATGTGACACAAACACAAACCAAATATCCTCTTAGGTTTAGATTCACTTACGATTCCCTCTTCTAAAGATACCAAGACACATCAAAACTAAAACATCTGCAGACGTATTTTCTAAGTCCAAAACATAGGTTGACTGAGATAAATACCGGCAAACTTGCCACCGTAAATGCTCTCACCACCTGTGCCTGCAGACCAAAGACATGAATATTATGTCGATTGGCTAATACAAGAATAATACGGTTACGAGACCTTTAATCTTCCATTGAATGATGCTACAAAGTCAAATATTCAACCATACATGACCCAAAAGTTCTCACAAGTTCTGCATATAAATTAACCCAATTAACTATCACCAGAACAAAACATCCACGTGTATTACAGGTAAGAGCGCTAAGCACCCCGAGTGCGATGAACCTCATTTTGGGATGCTTTTGAAATCAAAACCCAGCCATGAAAAAAAAGAGGTCACGCGAAAGGCAACCATCAACGGTGCAGACAACTTGATTAACCTTGTGAACTTTCAGGTAACTCCAGTAAAATTCAACGGTTTCATTATCTGATAGCCATCGGTATCAATAGATCCGTTTTCATAGCAAGCATTACGAGTCTAAAAATATAACCACATTAACCATCTCTTGACAGATATTAGTAAGCCGCCTACACAAAAAAAAAAAAAAAAAAAAAAAAAAAAAAAAAAAAAAAAGCATATCCGCTACAGTAAGCCAAACGAAGGTAGCCAAAAGCACTACATTCTGCAACGTGAGCTCTGACTTCTTTATAGAATACTGTACTAAATTTCAAGTAGGACGACGTGTATTAAGTAAAGAACGTTCTTTCATCGGTAGACAGGCAAATAATCTTACCATCTCTCTTGGAGAAGTCTCCCCCCTGTATGGAATGAAGTAAATTAGTATTAGTTCTGTGGAAATTGCTCTATGTGTTGAGTCTGCCGGCAAATAGAGATGCTCGTCCACTTAATGCAAACCACAAATAATACATGAATAACCACAACACATACATCCGGCCTAGCACAATGTTGATGAAATGCCGCGAAAAGACAAATACAAGCAACATGACTGAAGATGCATCACACTAAGCCTTCTTATATTAGTATTACTTGTGCCATAAATCCTGGAATGATTCGGTGAAATATAGTGTCTTTGAAGTGTAGGGGTTTCTTTGTAATGCGGCCTAAACCCTTCTCTCCTGCAGGTATCAAAAAAGAATCAGCGACTGAATGACAATAGACTACTTTCATGAAACAAGACTCTTGAATTATTAAGAAAAGAACAAATTTTATGAGCTAAACACTGCCTAAAACTTTGAAACATACGATCGAGCTCCCAATCACAAAGATAGCGCCACTCTGACGTTCAAGTTCAAATGAACATCATTAGATCGTCTGGACAGACCTGCAGATATCAAGAAACAAACGGCAAGCGATACGAAGACATCCCACAACATCCAAACCACCGATCGAATGATAAAGCAACACGTTCCTTCACGTAGGTGAGAGTGATGTAGTCCCAATTTGCACCTCTAAAATATATACAACTACATCATAAGTTCATTCTTCAATCTCTCTCCACATACAGAAAGAAGAACTATGTAAGCCACAAGAAGCTAGCCTTTGTGCACAAAGATGTACCTGTGCAGAGCGCTCGAAAATTTTCTGCAGTTTTGGGCACATCTGTATAAAGCTGTGACACGGAAATACAGCCTTTAATAGAAACAAGAGATTATTTCACAAAAACTACAATTAGTGAAAAGTGCATGATGATCAAGATGAGGCAAAAAACTAATTGAGGCATTTACAAGGTTTACATAAAATGAACAACACATTGACCAAAAACTGAAATCAATAACAAGGAGCATACATCTGGTGAATCAGAAAACAACAAGAACACTAGGTAATTGAACAAGCGGAGGGACAAACCATATATGTGCATACCTCCATAACAATTTTGCCAGCAGGATTACCACCAATGGTAACATCGAAGAAAACCCTTGGATTTGAAGTTTTTTTACCCATGATTCCAGAGTTATTGCTGAACGCTACATATCACATCAATTGTCAACTACGACACGATAGAGAATTTTCTATAACAGCATATATCCTCATCATCAATTAACGAAATCCAAGAAAATCATTACACTGAGCATGAAAGTAGATAAATAATGAGGAAAAAGAATTGAATTAACGCAGGTAAGTTGGAGACAAATGAAGGTGTAAGCAAGTAAATCGCAAAGCAAGCGAATCACCAGCTAATTAAAAGCTACAGTGCCGCAAATTTCGACCAGTAGTCGGTGAGAAGGACCAATCTCCGGTTGGCAGTAGGAAAGCTGTGTTTCAATAAACTCTACGCGACCGCGTCCTTCTAATTATTCTTGATCGAAACTTCTTCAATCAAAAAAGTTTAAGTAATGGAATCGTCTATTCGAAATGGCAGTCAACACGAATCTCCGAAAATTTATCCATGAAGGAAACGAAGGGAAATTGATAGAGGCTGGAAATAGATGAGCTGCATCTCTAAGAATGCTACCTTTTCAAAAACGGCCGGTAACATGCAAGGCTGGAAACAAGACATGTGCGTAACTGCGAAGTTCTGCTGAGCATCGATGTCTACAACACACCTTCCGAATTATTTCGTCCCGTATAACTAACCGCTCAAATAAATGAAGAAGACGCATCAAATATAGGTCTATGGAGCCTAAAGCGTCAGCAGCTGCTCCTGAGAAGCAACCACATCTAACAGTCATCGAAATTGCCACGAAGCCATAACTGTCTACCGCAACATCAATGCATCTCGAAATACTTTGATCAAAAAACCTTAAACCCTTCACCAGGGGCGGACAAAGCATTCACCTATATTCGATGAAGCACAGCAAATAAATGTGAAGCAACGTCAGAATTACAGCTAAGAGACGAAAAAAAGACTTCAAACAAGTATGCCTCGATTCCTGTGCTCATCAACGGAACAACCAAGAAAAATTAGTATCAGACTTCGAAAAGACTACTCAATAATGCCGGAGAGGAGAAGAAATCAACCCTCGTCGAGAGAAAAGAGGCGATCCAAAAAGGTACGAAAGGCCACAGAGCAGAAAATAATTTCACGAATCCGTACCCCGCCCAAAACCACCCACACTCCGTCGAAGCAAATTGCTATACAAAAACGCCACAAACCGTCCTGTACCTATAAGCTTTTATACTCTTAATTACTTCGAAACAAGGTCCGATTCATCACCACAAACAGCAAACACGGAAACTGTCCTGAGGCAATAACAAGGGACGCGCCGGAAACAGAGAGAGAGGAGGAGAGGAAACAAGTACCGCACTCCAGGGCGACGGTGAAGAGGCGAAAATAAAAAGTTAGCGCTGAAGAGGGACGAACTGTACTAACAAAGAAGTGCGAGAAAGAGGAACTGCTTAGGTGGTCAGCCTCGCCATGGTCATGGTGGTGATGCGAAGTGTAAGTTAGGCACGTTAGCACGGAAGAAACACGGACAGTCGAAGAAAAGAAACGATCCCACGTCGGGCAATAGCAGTTGTAGGCAGATTAGGGTTTGAGAAATGTGGACACAAGGAGACTTTTCCAGAAGCCTACCCATCCGATTCTTTACTATTTATAAATTCCGCTTCTCCATGGCAAATCTCAACCGTCCAGTCCCTATATACTCATATCAACCACACCATGGCCACCAGTAACTTCTCTATTTGCCTTTTGCTTCCATTCACTTCTTGCTATTTTGAAATTAAACACTTACTTTCCATTTGGAAATATGTGTTTGGTTTTTTCTTAGCTTTCGTCTGTATATTTAATGGCTTTTCACATTTTAATGGTAAAGCATGTGAGACAATTTTATTCTGATTTTATTTTTTTCATTTTTTTTAATAAACACATTGATTTTTCCTTTTTATTTTTGATGGTGAGTTTTGTTTACCTTGGGACATGATTGGATTGAGTTTTTTTCAAGTTACAAAAGATTTTTACATTGAAGTATTATTTTCAGTACTTATTGTTATTAACAAAATATTGTAAAATAATGTAAATGGTAGTGTATCAAAATGATCTTACTCTATTAGATAAAGTCTTTAGAAGAAGAATATTAATATAACTATTCAATTTGGATGTCAAAAATACTATTACTAAAAGCTTTTTTCTTTTTGTCAACACTCAATGAACAAAACATTATTACAATGTACCATGCACTGTCAAAGTAAATTTGGAAAGTGCCTTTGAGCAAAAAAGCAGTTCAGTATTAAAAAACTTAACAAAATATCATATTACATAATGCTTCTTTGTTACAGTAATTTTTATAATATAAATTATTCAAATTAATATTTAAAATTTTGGTTTTAGTGCGTATGAAAGTAAAATTTTGTTAACTTGATTCAGTCATGTCTTAGTAACTGACTTATTGAAATGTGACATTCAAGAAAACAGATGTTTAATGAGTTTTAAAAGTTAAAATATTATGATTTAAAATAACAAATTAATTGTAATACAATAATTTTTAATTTATATACTAGAAATAAAGTCTATTGCTACAAATTTTTTAAATTCTAAATATAATGACATTTCATAATAACATATAAATATAGCTTCAATAAATATTTTATTTGAATAAATATAAAAATTTAATAAAATAAACAAATATATTTTATAAACATTAATGTGGTGTTGAAGTGTCTATGTGTGTGTATATATATATATATATATATATATATATGAACATGATTGAATTGATGAAATAAGTAATATATTCTTTAAATCTTTATTTTTGTTTTATATGTAATTTTTTCACTATATTCAAACATGTAATATGATATCTTAATATTAAGTTGTAATAAAAAGTGATATTATCCAATACAATTCTAAATAATAATTAATTTATAATATTAAATTTTTAAAATATTTTTTTTTGTTATCTTTTAATATTTTTAACATCTATATAATAAACTAGCACACTTTGAACTTCTTAAAGATATAAACAAACTCTTTCATTAGTTAAGAAGATAGTTTTACTTAAAATAAGGTCTTTAGGCAATTGACATGAATCTATATGTATTTTCATATGGATTTAGCATTAAAAAAAATTCTTTTGAGCAAAAAGTAAGATTGTAGGATTTATTAAGAAATTAAATACATGACTATAAGCATTTTCATATGAATTTTGCATAGAATGTTTTTTTAAAGGTAAAGAAATATTCTTCATTCTTGCCTCCATATATACTATCAAACTAAGAATTATGTAGCAACATTCTATAAGACCTCTAATACATATTCAACTTATACAATACATATATAACTTGTAAGACAAGTTTCATATATGTGCACCACATGGTCTACTTGTATCACAAGTTGCCAACATGTGGTCAACTTATTATCATAGACATACACATGCAAACTAATAATTATCTATAAGATTAGATAAAAGTAAATAAAAGTAGGTCAATTCCATAATATCTTCTATGGAAGCTTTCTAAAAGCTTCATAGACATTGCTTTGACTTTAATTAAAAATTTATTTTTGATTATATTTTCACCATATAATCATATTACATCACGACACTAAGAACATAACTATAGGAGTAACAATATTGGAATCCACAAATCCTATTTCATGAAGTCCAAAGGCAAATGATTTATCTTGTTTTGTAAGCATTATTTTTAAATATTCAATTTTTGCTAGTAATAAAGAACCATCATATCCAATCTTCAATTCTTCAAGAGTCTCCTTTGTAAATTGATGTCTAATATTCATTGGATTTCTTAAACTTCTTTCTTTTGATGCTTCTCTCATTTGTTCTACAGAATTTTTTGGTAAGAACCAGCAATAGATTTTACTTTCTTATCTATTGTTTTATATTTTATTTCAACAATCACTTTTTGTGCTTCAAAAGATTTAAGTATAGTATAAACCTCCCTTGAATAAATTTCTACAATCTTATCATTATTTCCTAATCCAATAGATGCAATTAATTTCAAAGAATGTTCCAATCCATTTTCTTCATAAACACTTAAAATTCTCTCATGATCTTCTAATATCTCTATCTATATAATTTTCTTTCAATATTATATATATATATATATATATTTTAAATCTTAAACTTTCCTATACATAATATTCTTATTTTCAAAAATGCCAATAAAACTTGCATCAAAGGCACCTACATCTTACAAGAGTACCTCTTCTTTTGTACCTCCATAATCTTACTTTACAGTGGCACTTCTCCAAAATCCTTAAATCCTTCAATAATTCTTAGCAATGGCTTCTCCTTCAATCTATTTCAATTTCACTCATGATTAAGAGGTATAGTTAAAAATTATATTGCTTTCTTTCCATCTTCATTATAAATCTATACATAAGCTCAACTATCATGAAGAACTTTCATTTTTATCTATATTGTGGTAATATAAGGTTATCCTAAAATCATTGGATAAGATAATGTATCTTGAATAAAGAAATGTTGTTCTATTGCAATATCTCCAATCCAAATTTTAACATTTGAATAAGTTCCATATAATTTACCTTGTGTATTATTAGCTCCTCGTATTATCTATCCATGCTCCATATCAATTGGTTATTTTTGCTTTTTATAAAGATCTTTAGACATAAGATTTATCTTGGAATCATGATCAATTAAAATAACAACAAGTTCTTTTATATCTCCCACCTTCATCAATACCTTTGTAGCTACCCTTGTTCAATGCTTTCAAAAATAATGGCTTGAAGCTTCTATTTTATTATCACTATAATCTTCAAAATGCATTCATTGATTATAACCATTCTTTTTATTTGTTGATTGCTTATCATTATTATCAATCTCTTTTTCATCATTGTATATTCTTGCATCAATATCATAAGTCATTCTAGTTTTCCCTATTAATTGCCCCTTTTTTTTAATACAATAAATAATAATATCATGAAATTTTTCTTTGCAATCTCCAAAATCTTTTTCAATGTGAATTCTATATTAGCATTTAGTACATGTTCTTCCAACATCTCTTTTAAATAAATTATTGCTTCAGTATCAGAGACTAATTTATAAGCTATTGATTTAGTTTTATCTTTTATCTTCTTTGTTTTTTCTTCTAATATTGTTAAAGTATCCTTTGTGGAAAATTCTCATGAAGTCGCTTTACAAGCTTTGTCTTTTTGAATTTTCTTCTTAGAAAAATTTCCTTCTCTTATATTATCAAAATTTTCTCTTATCTTTTTTTCCATCAAGGCTTCATGTTGGCTCTTAGTAATATATATACATGAATTAAAAGAGCTTCCACAAGATCTTCTCAACGTGTTGCACCTTATATTGTAGCTGTAGTTTCAATAACGCTTCTCAAGGCATCTTTCCTTTTTGTATCATAGAAATGGCAGAAGTCCAAAATCCACTTGTTTCTACACTTTTGTCAAAGTCATCTATCTTAACACTGTAACTTATACTTTGTCATGTTGCTACTTCATGTGCTACTAAATAGTCTTGAATCAATGCTCTCATATTTTTTTTACTAAAATTGGTTTGAAAGAGATTTCATGTATTCTTTCATGCCACTTTTCCATCTTTCAAAAAAAAAAACTCTTTATTGCACCATATTATCAAATTCATTGCAATTCTTCCTAATATAAAAAATATTGTCACATTAAATGCATCTTTATACATATCCTTATTTAGAAATAGATTTCAAATTGATTGTAGAAGTCTTTTCTTTACGTCTTGCCAATTTAATTTAAAGATCTTTAATTTTATAAACATAACTTTATTTTTCAAAATCTAATCCAACCAAGAAAATCATTGCTTTTAAAAATCCTCCAAAAATTGAATATTAACTTGATTGACATAAAATTTATGCCTAAAAATCTTTTTGTAAGTTTTCTCTCAAATTCCACTCTTCAATCTACCAAAGAATTCTAGAAGTACGATAAGTGTATAATTTTATCCTTTAAGATGTGATTTTAATTCAAGTTGATGAGTGATTCTCTCTAGATATAAATATTTGATAATTTGAGGTAGTTTTTGCTTAAATTTATTAAAAAAATACTTTTAAACATGTTATTATTAATTATTTATTTTATTTATTTTGATTTGAAGCATTCATGTTACTACAAAGCAAATAAAAGTCCATTTTCTAAAAAACAACATTAAGACTAAATCTTTTATTACCTTCCTATCAGTTGTCTTTATTTTTCTATTGCATCTTCTTATTAAGCTCTTTTATAACAAAATCCATGTTTTTATTTTTTACCATATAGTAATATTACTATATGATAACATCTTTTAAATAATCAATTGTTGTATGCAATGGCATAAGCAATAAATTTTATTTTTGGTATTATTAATAATAAATCTTTGGCATTATCTTTTAGTCCATATTGAAATTGATTGATAAAGTCTTTATCAATTGATTGATAAAGTCTTTACAAATCAATTTGTCATTCTACTCTATATTGTAACCAAGGTCTTAAAATTTAGCAGCATATATAGTGGTTGATCATGATACTTGTCATAAAGATAAGAGTTTGGTCTCTCCTACTCTTTTTCA